CTGAGTCAAGCATTATGGGAGATACATAACAAATAAAAGTCCTGGTCCCTGCCCTCATTGTGCCTGTCCCGAGATTGGACAATCAATAAGTGTTCGATCTATATTAGATTGAGTCTCCCTTTGCTCACCGGTACCAGGTGATATATATTCCCTGAAAGCATCTTTCTTCCCTTTACTAAACCTCACTGATTATCTCTAGGTTTCAGCCTCACAATTGGACTCTGGCCTCAACATTACTGACCAGGTCCTTCCCTGTAGCATCCCCCCACCTCTGAGGATTGAGCTAAAAGCAAGGTACTTGCACTTGGCCCAAAGAGACCATCAGCGAAACTCCGCATTCCTAAATATTTGTTCTTTGAAATGTCTTTCTCAATTAGATCTCACCCAAATGTTTGAGAGTCAGGCTGAATTCCAACTTCCTGCTCCAGAACAGACATGTTGAGCCTGCGTAATTACTGCAGCCAGCTTTATTTGCTATAAAAACATGGATTTTTTTTTTGCTCCTTCTCAACTGTAAAATAATCAATAAATAGGATCCAGATGAAAAATGCCCGCATTTAGGAAAACAACCCTTTTACGGTTCTTTTCTTTGGGGTCTAATTAATACGTTGGGGATAAAATGTGCTGTTACATTTACCCAACCAGCTACATTGAAACACAAACTCTCCTTTCCTCCTGCTGAGATAGGGCTTCACATCAGAAATATAGGTGAAACAGACAGTTTCAAAACATTCCAAAATGTTCAACAAACAGATCTGTAAACCTGTGATGCAGACTTCCTCCAACCCCTCTCTGTTCACACTGGCTGTTCAATTTTTCTCTCTTCTCTAAGAACACATTGCGTAGTTACTGTCAAATGAGACACAGATAGTCCCATTAGCAGGAGAAGCAATCTCTCTGACTTTCTTTCTTTTAAATGAAGAAGACATGCCTTTTTGGATACTGACCACCCAGGCCATGAAAGTTTCATGAGGGGTTCTCGAAGCAGATGACACCTTTTCAATTATAAGCACTGCTATAATAAACCCCCACAGAGCCACAGGGCATGGAGTCTACATCCAACACATGACACCTATTTATTCCCTAATTATATTGCAATATATTCTCTCTCTGTGTGTGCTGATGAAGATAAAATATTCTTTTAATTCTATGGCCTCCTGGGGGGACGAAGGGGAGGGGATTATACATAGGCAAATTCTGGGAGTTCCTAGAGCTAAATCACAGCCTTTGTCCCAGGCTCCTTGACTGCATGCATGATCTCAAGAAAATCTCTCACTTTCCCTTGTTCTACCACAGTGGTTCTCAAAGTGTGGCCCCAGACCAAGAGTACCAGCATCACCTGGGAACTCCTTACAGATTCAAATTACTGGACCCACTCTGGACCCACTGAATCAGAAACTTTGGGGGCGGAGCCCAGCAATCTGTGTTTAAATAAGCCTTCCAGGGTGAAGTCTAAGAGCCACTGGTCTACAAAACAGAAAGGAAAGAGCATTATTTTAAATCAAATCAGAGATCAGGAATACCTGGACTCTCTAGTGCTGGGCTCCCTTCTGCATAGCTGTCCCAATCTGCAGAGTCGGGGCTCCATTTACCCATCTGTACAATGGGTGGATGCTGAAATTTAAGAGGTACATGGCTATCTGGCACCAGTCTCTATGGATACCCAGCAAGATCACAGTTGCCAACACTCACCAGCTCTCTCCCCCTGTGCTCTGACTGGCAGCAACTCTGCAGAGCTGCTCCCCAATGCCATATCTAAGGTCTTCAATGCAGCCGCCTCTGGGTTACCCTTGGCAACCAGGAGCTGGGGTCATGGAAGACCACAGGCTCTCCAAATCTCATAGCCAACAGCTCCAAGCCTTTCACCTCAGAGCCTTGAACCACTAGAGGGGAGGCTCAGGATTCTCTGTTACATTGTCCCGTTTCTTCAGACATCTTTTGTGTATTTGCCTCCTTTCCACATCTAGACTTTACCTTACAGAGAACAGAAGCTTAGAATGTCAGCATCACGAGGTATGGGACTCTGCCTGGCTGGTTCAGCGGTGTATCCCCAAGGCTTAAACCAGTGCCTGGTAAGAAGTATGAGCTCGAAAACTATCTGTTGACTAAATATTCCTAGCACAGTAAACGCCCTGCCCATAGTAGGACCAAGAGTGTGTTCAAAACCCCTCAAGTATCTAAATTCTGGAAGTTTTGGATGGAGGAACAAAGAAACTATTTGAAAGCCCAGGGAACAAGGAGAAAAGGGTAAAGGAGAAGCAAAAGGCTGAATATGACCCTTGCCGACTTCCCAGCCGATTGCTCACCCTAGTGCTAGAAGATTCTGGGGACACGTTCTGAGTTTGCTTTCTGAGGAGCTGGCTCTTCCAACTGCCCTAGTGCTTCTCTCTCAAAAGGCAGATTCTCATCCACCCTGACTCTGCTGTCCTTTGAACAAGTCATGAGCTTCCCTGCCCCTCTTCATGCTCAAGCCTTGTGCCCCACCAACCTCCTCCCCCAACTGGAAATCTACCCAAGGCTCAATTCCAAATCCTCCCTTCTCCAACTGTCCATCATTCTGCCCCCTCCAAAAGCGATTTCACCTGAGCAGGTCTAGCTTCCTTGGCTACAAGACAACAGCTGTTCTCCCTTTATGGGGCTGGGCCAGGTCTAAGGGCTCCCTTTCCCCGCAGACTTCAGTGCAGGCACAGGATAGGTATGCAACAAACCATTACCTCAGTGATTTATCCTGGGAGGTGATCCCAGCTCAGCGACTAACAAGAGAATCCTGAGGGGCGCCTGGGTGGCTCAGTCGTTAAGCATCTGCCTTCGGCTCAGGTCATGATCCCAGGGTCCTGGGATCGAGCCCCGCATCGGGCTCCCTGCTCCGTGGGGAGCCTGCTTCTCCCTCTCCCACTCCCCCTGCTTGTGTTCCCTCTCTCGCTCTGTCTCTCTCTGTCAAATAAATAAAATCTTAAAAAAAAAAAAAAAGAATCCTGAGACCAGTCCTCAACGCCTGCCAAGGGCACACTGTGGCCTGACCAGAAGCACCAGCCCCACGCTAAGAAAGTGATGATGAGAGTACTAGGGGGGGAAAAAAAAAAAAAAAACCTGAACTAGGAGTCAGGAGACCTGGTTTACATTCCCTTCCACCCCTTAACCAGCTCTAAGCAAGTCCTTTCACTTCTCTGGGCCTCAGTTTGCTGATCTGGGAGATGGGAGGAAGAGACAGAGACCAAGGAGACCTTGAATTTTGAGGGGCTTAAACAATCTGTGAGCCACCGAAAGCGGTGGCGTGTGGCGTGCCCCAGGGAAAACCCGCCAAACGAGCTGAGGATGGAGTGCTCCTGGGTGGTCGGTTCGACGCCCTCCCGGCCCCCAGTCCAACCTACGGGGAGTCCAGGGAAGACGGCAGGCGGGGAGGAACCCTTTCCTCAAAGCCCCCACCTCTCGGTCCCACTAAACCTGCTCCAAACCCTTCAAGAGAACCTCTCCAATAGCACTCCAACAAAGAAGCCTGCGAGGCAGGGGCCGCTAGCTCCGCGGAAGCCGCACGCGCGGCGAATCCGGTCTCCGGGACTCCGGAAGCCAGCGGACCCCCCCACACACACACCCCCGCAGGCTCCGAGAGCCACGGCCAACCTCCGCTCCGTGCCACCTGGCCCGGGAATTAACCCCTGCTTCCCCGACAGAGCGCGGGGAGGGGAGAGGGAAGGCCACTGATGCCCGGGCATGAATACCCTGGCCAGAGCGAGCCGAGATGGCCAGGATCCCAAACCACCCAAAGGCCTCCTCCAACCTGCCAGAGGCCCTGCTTTAGCCGCTCTCGGGAGGACGGAGTGGGAGATCCTGAAGCGGAGCCACTTTGAAATATTTTTCTAGAGAGCCTGACCACGCGGGAAGGACGCAGACCAGCCTCGCAGCGCGGGCTAGGAGGAACGGCTCCCGAGAGCGGCTACCGGAGGATGGAGCCGGGGAGTCCAGGTCCGGGAGAAAGCAGCCGGGGTGGTGGACTCCGGAAATTGTCAAGCCCCGGCTCTGCACTCCCAGGTTCCCGACGGGTCACGGCTCCGTCTCACTCACGGACCTGGACGCCCGCGGGGAACAATTTTGCACCTTTTTAAGTCGTATTTTTTTTCCTAACATATTAGGAAAAATAAACCAAGTCCAGGAGGAAGGCGGCTGCGCTCTGTAGCTCCAAGGGGCCACAACCACTACCATTCCCCCACCTCCAACACTACCGCCCAAGGCTGGGCGAGAAGTTGGGAACTTCGGGACCGCGCTCCAGGCGCGCACTGGGAGTGCCTCGCTTCTCTTTTAACTTCGCAAGCTGGCGTCGCCGCGCAGGGAGGGAGGGACGTCCGGAAAGTCAACCCACAGGGCTGTTCGCGTCCCGGACTTCCCCGAAGAGAATCGGGGCGACGGGATGAGAAAGAATGAAAGGAGTATACGTTCCGTTTCGCGCCTCCAAAAAGCAAAAAGCGCGCAAGGCTCGGACTGGGGCTTGGCGGCGGAGAGGCGCTCCGCTGGCCCCTGCGGGGAACCTGGCCGCGCCCCGCAGGCTCCGCGCCGCGACCCCGGCACGAAGGGCGCCCGAGGCACTGCGCGCAGTAGGCGCGCCCAGGGTGTTTTGGGTCGGCTCGGGGCTTGGAGTTTTCTGTCTCCTGGGGGCGTGCTGCTTCCTCCCAGGACCGCCGCGCCGCTGCGCTCGGGTCTTCCCCGCCGCGGGCGCTGCGTCCCGACTGCGGCCAGAGGGCCCGCGCCTGCCCACGCCGGGCGCCTAACGTCCTGCCGGGACCCCCCGGCGTTCTCCCACGCGCCGGCATTCGCTTCCTCCCCGCGCCAAACTCGGCTCCCGCGGCCCGCATCGAGCAGGGCAGCGGAGATCCGCGGAGCCGGTGGAAAGTTAGTCGCGGGGCTGCAAAGCCCCCTCCCCGGGACCGCAGCCCCCAACCGCCGTCTCCCTGTGCCCCCCGCGCGTCCCGGCTCCGCGTCTTCGCAGTCCCCGCTACGCCGCCTACCTGCTTCGGCGGCCGCCCGGAGCTGGGCCGGCCAGTCGCGCGGTCCCGTCCTCCAGAGCCCGAGCCGCGCCAG